CTAACAAGTCCTGCGCTCTGGACGCATTTCACCCACAGCACACATGCAACAAAGAGTATAAACTCAAAGCGAGAGCGACACCTGCCCCTCTTTCCTCTTTCACGTTGACAAAATTTTTTAGTTTTATCAAAGCACAAGTTTGATGTTTTTTTTTTATTTATTTGTTATAAAAACAGATGTTTAACAACTGTTAGGACTATATTATTTACAGTTTAAATATATATATTTTAATTTCAGACAAATTGATGCACTTTAAGCCTTTTCTTTTACAGACTATAAAACAATGTTAATAATCTTTGTTGTAAGTTGATCTATATTTCTTTCTTTATTTATTTATTTAATGTTAATAAGGGTACAATGTTATGCAGAGGTGTATTTATAACAATTGTTTTAGACAAATTATATTATTTACAGTCGCAGCGAAGAGTTGGGGGGTGTAACTGAAAATAATAGAGAAGCACTGATCTAGATGCATAATGTCAATGCACTTAAAATACAACTGATCAAGTTTCCCTTCAGTCTACATTTAAATATCACATATCAACAGAGGAACATGACCAACATCACAACAAAAATCTAAAAGACTAATTCTCATTTGCAGGCAGGATCTTAACTAGTCCTGTCACGATAACAAATTTTGCTGGGCAAATAATTGTCTCAGAAAATATTGCGATAAACAATAATATTGTTTGAAATTTGACAATAATTTGAAATTATTGCCAAATTGAAGATGAAATGTTAATTTTGTGTGTAGTACCTTCTTTGACCACTGGATGGCAATATAAGACTGTTTGAACCGAAGGATGGATAGCGAGGGAGCGAGCAGCGTATGTCTTTAAGAAAAATGGGAGGGAGGCCTCTTGACGTGACATGGGCTGTCTCTTGTTCCTGTTTTTTGGTTCTCAAAATGGCAGACGCTGTGTGTGATTTGAGCTCTTCAGCATAACATTTTTCACACAAAGCTTTTAATAAAAAAATCAGTAAACAAGTTCTCAGCTTTTTTTTTTTTTTGCAGAGAAAAACAACTATTTAGACGAAGGAACGGGTTTCAACCGTGAATTTTGGAGCTTTGACAAGAGATTTTTTTCCTAAGGTCGGCCTCTTAGCTTAGCTCGTAGCTTAGCTTCTCATCTTAGCTGCTTTTAACAATCCAAAAACGTGATTTTGGACGGTTAAACAGATTTTAAGAAGAAAAGAGAAAGAGAGGGGTCAGTGAAGAGCCAGAAATGTAGTGAGATAGGGTTAGTTAGCTTAGGAGCTCCACTACAATCAATATTTAATAACGGGTTCTCTCTTTTTCGAGCTACTTGACAGATATGTGACAGAGGTACTGTGTGGGAGATGGTCTAATCAGTGACATGAGACGTTAATTTTCTTTGACCCATCAAAATGAATGTGGTCATTTATTAACAGAATCAAAATTTAACATCAAAACATTGTACACTTGATTATTCCGATCGGCTCTGATTAATAAAACTTGGCACGTTTTATTTAATAAAAACAACAGTTGAGCCTTTTGTCGTCCAGTGTCTTCAGTAGAAAGAGAGACACACAAAGAAACAAAGCCGATAAATGAAAATGGGGTCGATAACTTTCATTTTTCATGCGATTAATTGATTTATCGTTTATTGCAGCAGGCCTAATCTTAACACTGCGTTGCAGACAAAAGTAGTTTCAGTCCTTCAAACTTCTGCTCAGTTGTTTCTTTAATCTAATAAGCACCAATCACTCCAAGTAAATGATTTAATATGAGAATTAAAGAAACCAAGTTCTAGATTTACTGCCATGAAAAAAGACAGCAGCTCTAATTTCCTAATAGAGGGAAGTAAGATATTACTTTGGCAGGCTTTTTGGGAAAAGGTGAAGCAAAGTTAGTCGCATGATAGTCTTTAGCCTTTAGTCTCAGGTCAACGACTTGACAGAGAGAAGCTGTTCAGAGACTTGAAAGTCTGTGGTGGACTTGTGGGACGTTCAGTATGTGAAAAGGCTCCTTAGAGGCTTAAACACATGGGCACCTTTGATGATGCCTTGTCTTGAAAAATGTTGCAGGGTCAGACTGCAGATGACTGACTTCTTCCAACTGGTGCACAAAAAAATAACAAGTCAGGACAAGCATCAGAAATGTATAAAAATGTCATGCTTTAATGGTTGCGAAGCTGCCATTTCTTAAATAAAATTTAAAAAACATGATTTGTAAATATTCTATTTTCTCCTTAAAAATTAATTTTCTTTAGATTAACTCTGGAATCTTAAAATGTGAAGTGTCTCCTAAACGTTACCAGCTACTTAAATCTTTAACACGAACATGGAAATTGGTGAGTGAGCATGTTTTGGTGTACAAACTGAATAAAATGTGTCATTTTAACGGAACACACTCCGAGGAGCAGGACCAGCTTCATTTTTATAACAGCAGAAAAGAGGAGACACTGACACTGACATACATACTCTGAGCTCTTCCCAGAGGTTTCCACCTATAGGGACAAAAGCCCAAAGTGGAGAGGCTGAAAGGGGGAAAGCTGGGCTCCAAGGTTGCTGGAAAAGCTCATGGAGGGGATTAGTGTGGGTGCATGTGTGCTGTGTTTGTGTATAATCTTGCATACATGCAGGTGTGTGACTAAATCTGTGTTTGCATGTGAGTCTGTGCTCAGATGATCCTTGCATGCACACTTGTCTGAACACCTTGGAGAAGCTTGTGGACTGAGATGGGCTGATGTCAGGATTTTGCGGGAGGGGTTGTTTCACGCTGCACGCCTGGACGAAGGCGGATTATTTTTTTTCTTTCCGAAGGAGAAGCTGACAGGGGGGGGTGGGGGGGATTAAATATAGTGAATTTTAAACTAAGACTTGTTTACAGAGTCACAGGATGTGTTGCCACAGGAAGAAAGATATACTCTACCTGTACACTGCAGAGAGATTAGGAAAGGATCCCAAAATAAATGAGGGAGAGTGGGCACTGAGCGGGGGGAGATTTAGAGGATGTGCTGGGATGTTCAGTATTTGTTATCTTTTGAAATTTTCCGTTTGTTTTTGGGAAACTGAAAATGTTAAAATTGTGCAGTGGATTGGTCACTGCACAATAATTGCTTCTAAGACGACAGGCGGCGCACAATCCTGCCACAATAATCACACGTTTACACACACACACCCACACACAGACTGGTTTCACATTCATGTCTGTGCTGAACTCAGATGATATTCACACCCTTTGGCCAAACATTACCATTTATTATCATCAATTATCCCTTGGGTAAAATGGACACTGGTGTATGGTTGTACATGTGTAATATGTGCATTTTTACACAGGTAATCAAATACACACACACACACACACACACACACACATTATTAGCTTGTGATGCTTAAGGCCAAAGGAAAATATTGAGTCAAAGATAAATCTTGCACAAGTTATCAGTTGCTTTTTCTTTCAATTTATAAATTTTACCTCTGTCTTAAATATTTTATCTCAGATTATGAGTATTAGATAACTGAGTAAATTTGTGAATGTGCAGGTGTGTAGTTATCAAAATAGTCTGACCTATAAGACTATTGGCAGAATTAAATCTGAGATAAACAGATCTGCAATTGTTTTAATTTACTTAATTCTTTCTTCTATTTCTTCTCCTTGACGGTGAGCCCAAAATAAACTAGAAGCTTAAAGGCTCAGTTTATATCATTTAACACGAGGTTCTGTGGAAAAGGCTATCAGCAATTAATTTATTGCCTGTTGTAGATAGCTCTTTAAAAAGACTTCAGTTTGGAGCAATATACGTTTAATTAAAAAGATTAACAAACTATTAGCTAGTCCATGCAAAATCAAGACCAAAATTCAAGACCTAAGGTGGCTGTGGTGAGCTGGTCTGGGAAGCTCAGTCCTCACCTCCTTCTACAGGTGTGCAGTGGAGAGCATCCTGTGCTCCAGCATCAACGTGTGGCATGGAGGCTGCACAGCTGCAGAAAGAAAAGCTCTGCAGAGAGTGGTGAAGGCTGCACAGAAGGTGTTGGAGTCAGCCTCCCCACCATCACAGACATCTACACCTCCAGATGCAGGAAGAGGGCCACCTGCATCACGAAGGACCCCACTCACCCTGCACACACTTGTGCAAACGACAAATAAAGAAACTTTCACTTCGACTTTGAAAATGGATTGCTGCTAACTTAAAACAACTACTTTCAGAAAGTTAATAGTAGTTCATGCATAGAGTATTTTTCACACCTTTGAATACTGTAGTTCTTTACAAGGGCAAATAGCAGTTGCAGCAGCAGCTAGCTGTAGCATTTTTGGTGCAGCCAGTGGTCCTTTCTCATACTAGCCATTGGCATATCAAGTCAGTCAAAGCAAAGCCAATCAATCATCCTAAAACTAGTCATGTTAAAATATATATCTATTGTTCAGGCAGAAAAGCCCCACACTGCTTCAGAGGTGCTACAGCTAGCTGCAGTCAGACTAGCCATTAGCTTGTCAAAAATGAACTTTTGTTCTCTGAACCGAGGTTGATCAAGGAGCTATCTATAACAGTTAAGATAGTAATTGTTCATAACATTTCCACAGAACCATATTTCAAAAGATCTGGACAATCACTTTAATTAAAGGCATGACTGAATCAAACATAATTCTTGTTTCACTCTCTTTAAAATAATGTATATGACCAAAGTCAGTGACCACTCACATTTTAAGTGACCATTAATTTTAGACCAACAACCAATATGGGAGGAAAAAATGGAGAAATATAGATAAGAAAGGAGAATTGACATGAAAGGATGCCTGGATGAGAAAATATTAAACTGCAAAATGAAGGAAAAGAAGGTAGAAGACGGTCACTGCCACAGGACAGAAAGTCTTTTAAATGCACAATTCATATAGACTTTTTTTATCTCACCCACTCAGTCCCTTTCTTTTTCATTCCCTCATCCACATGCAGGTCAGCTGCGAGAAAAGGTGAAAAAAAAAGAAAAAGGGGACTGTGGTGGTAAGCGGAGAAAGATAGAGCATCCTGCGCTCTTCTGCCAATCAACCTCTTCTGTCAAGCATTGCTGCGCGTGCCGCTTGCTGCGAGTCGTGCAGGAAGCCTTCCATTTCACTTGGTTATGTAAAAGGTTTTCACCGAGGCCTAAAGGAAGTGAGTGCCACAGAATAGATAAGGTCCCCTGTCTACCTGATGGGCCTTGCTGCAGGGAGGAAGAGCTGACGGAGACCCAAAGAGCCTCCACTAAATACTGGAGGAGGCGGCTGTGGGTGTAAACAAAGACACAAAAATGGGCCGGCAAAGAGGAACAGTGTGGGAAACAGTGGGTCCATATCTTCGGTACACTTTTATAAATTTATTATTTGTTTTCAGTTTGCTTCAAATATTTTCTTACACAAAAAAAAGCTCAACCTTCTTTACTTTCCTAATTATAATTTGGTTCAACTATTTTGTGTGATTGTCATTTTTCTTAAAAAGCACCCAACAAAATGAATTTATCTTGTAAAAGACTATAATGATGAGAAAAGCCAAAAATACGTTATTAGGCAAATTCTTGCTCGAGGGCATCAACAGCAAGTAGAGGTGGGAAATGTTACTATTACGACTTTGCTTTGTAACTTTATTTAAATACACAAATTATACATTTTTATATTTTAAATATAAGGGTAGAAGCTGAATTAAGTTCAAAGTAACAAAGTTTTTATTTTGAACTAAAAAAAGCTGCACTTATAACCTGAAATACCTTCCTTTTGTCGTTATATATGTGTGTATGAAACATTTTAAAGGCTGTAACTATTTATTAACCTTTATTTAACCAGGCAAATCCCATTGAGAGCACAGATTTCTTTAGTAAGGGAGGTCTGAGCCTGAAGGCAGCCTAACATGAAGGTTTTAGACTTTGTGAGGAATCCGAAGCATCCGAGGGAAACACGCAAACACAAGGAGAACATCCAAACTCCACACAGGAGGACCCCAGGTCCAAACCAGGGATTGAACCCAGGACCTTCTTGCATTGAGGCAACAGCATTAACCACTAATCCATCATGCTGCCAAACTATATACTGTATGTCCATAAAATGCAACAAGCCCTCTTACCTTTTTCTCGAGTATATCTAGTTGCTCTTTGTAAAAACTGGAAATGGTGGCCAGCTCCTGTTCTTTCCGATCCAGTTGTTTGGCCTAAGAAAGAAAATGAGAGACAAGACACAGAGAGGAATTAAAAATGACAGCAAAGATTAAAAAAAATAAAATAAAGAAATAAGCAATAAAAAATGTAATACTGCTGCTACATACATTTATAACGCTGAGTAGGGAAATGAAAAACAAAAAATAATGACTCTGTAAAATATCATATAATTAAAATACATGTTAAAATTCACATTAATAAAGAAGCTAAACAATACTTAACGGTTTAGTATAAATGATTTACTGCTTCAGATGAGAACATCTGGATCAACCAGCATTAAAACTAAGTGTTGGAATAACAAAGCCTGTGGTACAAAGATTGGTTTCTACTTCACAACAAAACTTAAACTCAAAAGAAAACGCTTTAATATACACTTTACCTTTCATTTACAGCTGAACTCAAAGTATCAATCATCTCTGCATCATATTCAAGTAGAACAGTACTAACCATGCACGCACGCTTAAATCACATAATCTAAAATATCACGTGTAAAGCTGATACCATATACGAGCACTTGATACGCAGTAGTTTTGTATCTGGAGTCATTTATTGAGTATACGTTTGAGCACTACTGTATTTTTTTATTCTTGTACAATCACATTTATGTTTTTGTTTTGTAGTTTCCAGGATTGTGATATTATTGTCTGCTTCATTCGTGCAGTTAAACTCTTAACAACGTTTGGTGAAAATGTACAGTAACCCTAAGAAAAATGTAGTTATATTACAAAGTAATACTTTGAGCAGCAATTTGGTGTTACATTGACATAATGTGACAAAACTTACAAAACTACTGAGGTGGTATGAGAGTGTCACAGCTGTGGCAGCAGCTGACATGGCGTCGCTGACATTAGGATGAGGTAAAAGTCTTTAATAAGCTCACTGAGCCAAGCTTTGACAGGCAGCAGGATGGAGGATTGGCTGAAGGAAGACCCACAGTTTGGGCCATGGCAAAGCAGCATGCAAGCAGAGGAAGACAGAAAGCACATGTCAAAAAAAAAGGCGACTCTATAAAAATAGGTTGGCAGTTTAGCCTGAAAACAGACATTTTATGGAAAGTTTCTATAGAAATAAGATGTAACTTTTGTGACGGCTAAAACATCTGAAAACCAAGAAACCACAAGGTCTGTTGATACTATTTTATGATTTTAACAAAATCAAATCTAATTTCATGAATAGATATAAATCAAAGTTACACAAATGGACAGCGGAACTGCATTAAAATCAAAAAAATAAAATAAATAACAGAAGTAAAGTAGTAGTGAATGGCAAAAGCTGATGAGAATGGGTTGTGAATGAACAAAAGTTCTTAGAAACACTAAGTTCACCATGACTTTGTATTATTAATTCATCTCATTTTTATTTGTCTAATCATTTCAGCTTCAGTATCAAAACAAATCCACTGACGCTACATTGGAAACACATTACAAACACCTGCCAAACTACATGGAAGTGCTTAGAGTTCCTGATGCATTCTCAATAACCTCAATAATGCAGTCTGTAGAGACTGGAAAGAGCTGTAACTGCTTGTGTTTAAAATAAATGGTAGTCCTCAAACAGGACATTCATGAATTTATAATAAGTCAAGTCACATGTCTCTGGGCAGCACGCCTCATCCCCAAAATGCCCCCCGGGCGCTTTCAATAGCTGCCCACTGCACCACCTGGTGGTGGATGGGTTAAATGCAGAGACTAATTTCGCCATTGTATGGAAACATACAGTGCAGACATTGTGATGACATTATTATTATTATTATTATTATGTGGTGGAACGAAATTGTGGTCCCAGTTACATCCAACAAAAGTATAAATTGTAAAAAAAAACACTAGTAATATCTAATATATGAACTAAGAAATGCGCTAAAACTAAGAATACACTAAGCACAAATAGTACAAAAACAATACGCAGAACAGCAGCAGCACAAACATGAGTCTGTGTGAGAAGGTGAGCACGAATGAACAATTCAAACCATTGAGAGTACAACTAAACTACAGAAACATAATCATATGGAGCCCCTACACAATAAAACTGGATGCAGATGAGGCAGCAAAATGTAACAGCAGAACTTGGATTTATGAAGCACTGAAATGGAAATCTTGTATGACAAAAACGTTTCACATACGTACTGTTACAGTGTAGTTATGACCAATTACTGTAGTGCCTTAGTGAGAGTGATATACTTTTGGCTATCGTCAATATCAATATTGGGAGGGGAGGGCTAACGCTGATAACCGATATAATAGCTGAAAATTTTTTAGCTTTGTCCACCGCCAAGAATCTAAGAAAACAACCTATTTTAACACGTGAAACAGTGTTTCTAACGTGCATTCGCATTTTCTATCCTCCACTGTTCACTATAGTGTTATCAAATGTGGTACAAAAATCTAAATTAAACAAAGACAGCCCTTCCCTGTTCATTGTTTAAACAGTCAGTCACGTGTGGTGAAGGTCTAATTAGCATTGATTGCAGCTGCATTTTATTTTGGTATTTTTTTGCAGAGATTTAAGACAAACAATGCATTTCATTGTGGACGACAAAGGTAACGTTACTAACACTGATATATTTTACCTCTACGTTAGATTTATTGTTCTGGATAAAGCTTTACAAGGCAATAGCCTATGCTAGGTTATCTAAACGTTAGCTTGCTAACTTGAGAGAGGCACGTTGCTAATGACAAGAGAATTGAAGATAATTTATTATTGTTGGTTTAACTTGCAGATCAGTTACAATAAACTTACCAGCCTCTGTTCAGCAAAATACACTACACGGTATTTAGTTGTTCCCTGCTTCGCCATGCCGAAAGTGAAAGTTAAAGCGGTCATGACTTGAAAGTAGTCTACGTGCGTCCTCTGCTGGATTTTCTGAACAATTATGGCTGGTTCCCAGCATTTTAAGGATTAAATTTAGAAATGTTTATTATATCAGCGCACAATGGAACAATAAGCATTGATACAGATATGTCCCCAAACACCTATATCGTCCTAAAATATCGTCCTAAAATATCGTCCTAAAATATCGTC